GCCTAGCTGCACTCGATGGGGGCATCCGATGGCGTTCGAGGTATGCACAGGTTAACGCAGGTGAGTCACAGTGGCCCGGCTGCCCGGGGGCTGAGGAGCGCTCAGCTGTCGGTCTGTGAGGCCAAGTGGCTCTTCCCAGATGGCAGCAGAGCCCTCGTCCTGAGCTGTTAGCTGTGGTCCCGCTTTGGTGTGGAGGCCCCGGGGCCCAGTGCTGGGCACGCTGGGCTGGCAGGAGGGTGGGAGCACCAAAGACCCCACCTGGCCCCTGGGCGGGCAGGATGGGGGTCATCCTTCCCTCCTGGCCAGCGCCATTTCCTTCCTTCACAACCGGCAGGTCAGGGGTCTCAGACACTGGGGTGGGGACAGGGAGGTGGGAACAGCCTGTGGTCACATGAAGCCAGGACAGTGGCACTCTGCCTGACAGACAAACCTGCTCCAGGACCAAAGGGAAGTGACAGCTGTCTTGGGTGCCAGGTGTTCTCCCAGAACAGGGGACCCCACTGCTTTTCCTGTGGGCTCTCCCCTCTCACAGGGCCTCCAGATGCCCCCCCGACAGCAGCTCAGGACCGGAAGTCTCACTGACCTTTCTTTTATTGAAAAGCCCGCCCTCTCCTGTCCTCCAGGTCTGTAAAGCACTGGCCAGGGCCAGGGAAACCTGACGTGTCTGGCACAGAATCTGTAAGGAGCGCCCTGAACCTAGCCTAGGAACTGGAAGTGCTGAGTCGTGATTCTTTGGATCATCAACATTTTAAAACAATGCACAAAAGAGTGAAGATGCTTTCAAGGTGTCTGCGCACCCCGGTCCCTGTCTGCAGCACCCACTCCTGGGCAGAGGTGGGCAGCACATGACAGCTTTCTCTCCTGTGTGCACCCACGGCCGCCAGGCCCTGCCGCCACCAGCCTCCCCCTCCACTCTGACACAGTGCCTCCGGGCTCAGGAAGTCTGTGGCCCTGGGAACGTGGACAGTGTTCTGGTCTCAGGGACACCATGCCCCTAAGCACATCTCTTGATCCGGCCCTCCCACTGGCCCCTGCTGGGAAACGAAGAACAAAGGACAAGAGGGTAGCTGCCTGGGCTTCTGGCCTTGCTAACAGGAGACAGAGTCTGGGGGGCGGGCAGGGGGCAAGAGGACACAGCCCAGAGGCCAGCGCAGACGGAGGCGACCCTCTTCTTACCGCAGCTCTGGTCTCAGGGACACCATGCCCCTAAGCACAT